ATGATAATAAACTCAATTTAATACCCATCCATAGACTACCTCGATGACTTCATGTACGGCAACGCAACTCGTGCGAAACTATATTTTTTCTCGAAAAAACAAATTGCTCCTCGAGTGTTCATATTCTTAAAAATATGTTGTGTGCAGAACAAACTCACGATGTTGACAACGCTAACTCTTTTCACAGGGGACAACAGTCTACGTGGATTATACAAACCACGAATGGAAAACCTTTCAGCTGCATCACGAACCTTGTAATACCTTCCTACTTGTTCGCCGTAGGTTATCATCATCCTCCTCATAAGCCGACCAAGGGTGTCCTTTCTCGTTATACAACCCGACCTCGGGAAGTGATTCATTTTCTGGTGCCTTGAAACACCTCTTGTGTTGAGCACGCACCGAATGCCCAAACATTACGATTCAACTGTGGCGTATTCGGATGGCTTGAATCGGCCACTTTTCCAGTATAGATGCCAGTCTGCGGGAATGAGGTCCCTAAGGGTAAAGTGATGCAACATACACTACGCGGTAGACATGCAAAGGTTGATGAATTGAGGCAACCTAGATAGTAACTCCTCCTCCAACAACAACAACATATATAACAACAAAAAATACAACAACAACAACAATAACAATAACAACATATACAACAGCAACAACAACAACAACATGTACAACGAGAACATATACAACAACAACATGTACAACGAGAACATATACAACAACAAAATATACAACAACAACAACAACATGTACAACGAGAACATATACAACAACAAAATATACAACAACAACAATACTCAAATCTGAAATGATTCCCCTCGTATCTCAACTACTCCTACCATCACCACCACGACGACGACGACGTGCCTCATTACTCTTCACGATGGGCACCCCTTTGCATACGCCCTGACGAGTTCTCAATCCTCGAGGGTTCAGGGTTTACTTCTACCATACCACGGCGATTAAACACCTGAAAAGCAAAGGAGCAGTGCACTCCAATGAAGCTTAGTGGAAACAAATATAATTAAATCCACCAAGCTAAATAGTCGAGTGAGTTAGTGCCATAAGCACACGCATTCCTTGATCGATAGATCGTCGGTTCGACTCCCACAGACGGCACTTACTGATGCAACTAAGAACGGCAATCCCATACCATCACCCATCCTAAACCGTAGTTCCTCGAAGCCATAGGTCATCAATATAAACCCACTGAGGAGAATCGAACCACGGACCTTTCGATTACGCACTCACCTCCCCTCCAATTCAACAACGCGACACTGCGAGTTCACAAATAAGATACGATATCGCCAGCGAGTGGCCGAGGCGATGATTTTGATAATCAACGTTAATGATACTTAATAGTGATATGAAGGTAATGTAACTGCGTATGATTTGGTCGTCATCATTATCATCATCCGTACCACTCCTTTGCCAAATCCCCGCGAAATGGTACATAAGGTACTATGGCCGCGACCAACAGGACGAGCCCATCTCAATTGAATTTACCACTCCACTTCTCCTTCTACTTAGAAACCCTACCCAAACAGTTCAGCAGGTTCGCTCCCTTCGTCGCCGTCGAACTACCCTCAACCTTCGTAGGTTCTATCCCCGCAACCTCCACCGATCGAGGGCTCTCAATATCCATCTCACTCGATTCGTCATCTCCTCTACTCACACCACCCTGCGGCAGTCCCGACCCCCACGGAAACGCCGGGGCCTTAGTCCGCGCTGGATGGGCCGGTTGGGGTATCAGAGGTAGCGGTACAAAAGGAGGAACTACCATTCCTCCAGAAGGTGGTGGAGGCCTTGCGACAGAGAGGCGCGGCATCGGATATATACACTGCATCCTAGACCCTGTCAACAGGTGGGCTGGGGGGACTCCAGTGAGGCTTTCCGCCATCATCATCATCCCGGGAAACGGTGGAGGCGGTAGTCTGCTGCTACTCTGGCTATAGGGAAGCCCAGAGACACTGATAGGATTTCCCAACCCCTGGGCCGGGGGCACTGCTCCTTGTCCGACAACAGCAAGAGGGTGGGCATCCCAACCACCACCACCAGGTGCCTGTGAGGTCCTTCTAGATCTTGAATCTCCATTCACGTCCCCCTCAGCATGCCGATCAACATGGCGGCCGCCATATGACGATGAACTGCGGCACCTACTACTACGGGTGGACTTGTGATGATGCCTTGACGAATTGTGAGGATCATCCCGACCCCGTCCACGACGATGACTTCGCTCTCGCGATCGGCTCCTCCTCGTGCTCTTTCGAGACTCCCGTCTAGACTCCCGCCCCGAGCCAGTCCGAACAGCATCCGTTGCAGCTTCCGGAGGGTTGGTGAACCGTCCCTCCTTGGGTGAAGACTGTCGTGCCCTCCCCCTGCACTCTCCAGAAGATCGTTGCTCACTAACTGGTATCAAATCGATTGCCCCCGATGGTAGTACTCCCTGCACTCTCTAGCCCGTTCTGCGTCTTCCCCCTTTGTCGAGGGCGATCCGCAT